GTGAACCACACGTTATAAATCTAACTGTGATATTTTCAGAAATAGAAGTCGCGTTTACTTTCCAGTGATGTCTGTGAGAAATGGATATTAACTCGACAAGCTCGCGCATGTGCACCGCCGTGCGCTCAATCCACTCAGCGTGCTTTGCTCATCAGCTCGCGCACATCAGCTATACAGGTGTTAATATTGAATGTTTAACATTATATTCATTGCATACATATACTTCGTAGACATCCTTAATCTCGAATAACTCCATGCTGTCTGTTGTTCTGTTGTCGGTGTTTCTTTGTCTGAATATGGCACTTATCACATGCTGTATGGTATCGGCATTTGGTACCGGGGCATTTTAACAAGTATGAGTACGAGTACAGGAGCTCAGTATCGGTGCATCCCTAGCTTTGAGTAATTTAATTTCCAAAATAAGAAATCGTTCATAGTATAGGCTAACAGAAGTCAGAGAATGTGTAAAAGCTGTGCAGCTACAGAAGTTGGAGGCAATGGTCCTTAGCCTTTTGTTAGTGTTTGACCCCCTGGTTCAAGTCCTGCAGTGACACATTGCTGCCACACGCATATTATATTTTTCCGCTCAGTTATTTCTGAATAATCGACTCTGGGCTTGGAATATTTCTTTACTTCAATGACTTAAGTTTGATTTAACACCAAATCGAAATACGAACAAAAAGAAATAAAGAGAAATGACAAACGGTTTGATTTTATTATTATTATTATTATTATTATTATTATTATTATTATTCATGCGCACTAAAACGCCGTCAGATACGGCGTCATTGACGTATTTTCGCGTGTTTTTTACGCCGTTTGTAATCAAAATGGCATATTTTGCGGCGCAAATACTGTTTAAAACACCGTATTTGATGGTGTTTGGCTGTAAACGCGATTAATCTATAGCATAATTTTGAACCTTTGGGCTTGCCATACTCGCAGGCTTTCCTCACGCGTGGATCTATCTATCTATCTATCTATCTATTATTATTATTATTATTATTATTATTATTATTATTATTCATGCGCACTAAAACGCCGTCAGATACGGCGTCATTGACGTATTTTCGCGTGTTTTTTACGCCGTTTGTAATCAAAATGGCATATTTTGCGGCGCAAATACTGTTTAAAACACCGTATTTGATGGTGTTTGGCTGTAAACGCGATTAATCTATAGCATAATTTTGAACCTTTGGGCTTGCCATACTCGCAGGCTTTCCTCACGCGTGGATCTATCTATCTATCTATCTATCTATCTATCTATCTATCTATCTACTGTATCTATTTTATTTATTTATTTGATGTTTATCTAGTGTTTATTTGTATGGTCATGTCTATTCGCAGGGTTGCCAAAAGTGCAAATTTAAATATAATATATAATAAACATAATGAATTAAAATAAATATAGTACAATAAAAAAATTAATTAATAACAATTTGTTGAGTCCTATTTTGTATCTTTTTGTAAAGTAAAAAAAGTAAATTACAACATTTGCCCATGTAATGCTTCTTACTCTATAATGTATTAGTCAAGCAAGCTGGAAAGAGAAAATTGTTGACAATTATGTTGTGCATTTTAACAAAATATAGATGCCTCGGTTGAAAAAGATACAAAAAAATTCTCAACAGCTCTTGTCAGCTTCTCCAGATGTCATTTCAATCTCAGGGAAGACTGAAATACAATACAATGTCACATAGTCTGCCACAGTAATTACAGTCAATTTATACTAATCCCAATAATCATCAGGCTTTTCATCATCAAGACAAAATGATGGCATTGTTACCAATCCACTTTCTGTCTTGTGAGTTAATAACGGCAATACAGAGCCATAGGTCCTATTTGACCTTGGATGAAGGATGTGGCGTTCCGACGCTTGATGAACACGGCCGCTAAATTTAGCACACTTGCTTGGCCAAGGCTTCAATTAAGGGGAGCAGAGACTATTCCATGACTGCACCTTCTGTGTCTGTCTGAGGGGAAGAAAGAGTAAAAAACAGGAAACGGATATAGTCGCAGAGAGAAACAGAGAGATCTATGTTACCTCAGGCACTCCTCCTCCTCATTGTTTTCTGATCTATGTTTGCATGCCTGCAGGACCAGCGTTCACCACAGTATAGCTTATAATGATTTTTCACCTGCAGTACATGAGAAAGATGGAGTCCAGGATTATTAGCATCATTTCCATATGCCTTTGATACTCTATATGCACATCGACTCACTTCCTTAACACTCACAGACTGGTTTTAGGAAGCAACTGGTTATACAAAACATCATATTTAAGCATATTTTGATTTGGTATTTGATATGCAGTATATTTCATATCAAATTGTTAATGGAATAGTTCACCCAAAAGTGAAAGAAATGTATTCACTCTCAGGTCATCCAAGATGTAGATGAGTTTGTTTCTTCACCTGAACAGATTTTGGAGAAATTTAGCATTACATCACTTGCACCAAATGGATTCATTCTGTTCATTTTTCAGTGAATGAGCAAACCACAAGATATATGTTAGAAAGTGTGGTAAAAATAATGCAATTTTACTATGCTATTATTTGCATGTCAAGTACTTATTTGGAATATTGCTAAATTTCAACATTTCATCAATGGTTTCAGTAAGCAATCAGCATGTTTGTGTGACTTTGGATTGCTGGGAAATTCAAATAGATTTTTTTTTTTTTACTGCCAAGACTAATGCTATGATACATTTATTTAAAGTGCACATATTGTATTTTAAGTAGATTGTAATGCAACACAGGCAAGTGATTAGGCAGAAGTGGGTGTTCAGTAGATGCCAGGCATGCTGATCTCTAAGGTGAGACACTGCAAGTGAATAGGGTAAAAAAACAAACAAACTAATATTTATCGCCTTGCTTACCCAGCTGATTGATTACATTGATAATTGCCAACATATTTTGTATAACAAGTTTTCTAAAATGATAGGTTTAGATATGCAAATGAGTCATTATTTAATGAAATATGAGCTAATTTGCATATATTTCTAGTACAAAAATCTAAACACTGGATGATGTCAGTTTCAAAATTCTTGTTTAATTTTTTTTTGACATATTAGAGTCAAAAGTTTTTACAGAGAGAATTTTGGGTATCTCATTTTTGTCACTCCATAATTCAGAAAATTATTAGAACAGACAGAAAACACTATATTTTCACAATTTTGAGGGGATTAAAATGTTGTATATAATCAAGCAAATTATATATGAACAAATCCCTCTGTAAAAACCTTCAGGATATAGACAGGAATAAAAATTTAAAGTTTGGTGTGTGTAAGTACTACTAAAGTGGAGATGTATTGCTCAGTGTAGGCGAAAAAACTCATTTTGATAAAACGGCCTTTAAAAATATGTATTGTAAGTGAAATCTATTGACACAGATAGATAAAGTGCTAGAAAAGAAACACTTAACAGTGTCTTTTGGATGTTTTCTTTCCACTAGTCTGAAAAAAAAA